GTGTGCTTAATCCATTGCTCTACTCCCTCTACACCCACGACTGTAAGGCCAAACACAACACCAACTTCATCAACAAGTTTGCTGATGACACCACAGTTGTAGGTCTGATCACAGACAATGTCAGCAAAACCAACGAGCTGATCGTTGATTTCAGAAAACTGCAAAACGGACATGCCCCTACCCACATCAACAGGACTGAGGTGGAAAGGTTCAGTAGCTCACATGGTCTCTCAACGCCACCTGTCTGATCAAGAAAGTGCAACAGCGCCTGTACTTCCTAAGATGGTTGAAGAAGGCTAAGATATGTCCCCAGATCCTCACTAACTTTTACAGATGCACTACAGAAAGCACACTGACAGGCTGCATCACAGTGTGGTATGGCAAATGCAGTATTGCTGACCGCAAAGCCATACAGCGGGTGGTGTAAACTGCCCAGTCCATCACTGGGGTTGCTCTCCCATCCATCCAGGACATTTATGACAAACAGTGCTTGAGGAAAGCTCTAAGCATCATTAAAGACCCCACACACCCCAGTTTGACCCTTTACCATCTGGAAAACAGTACCAGAGCATTCGGGCCCAGACTACCAGACTCAGAGAGAGTTTTTACCCCCGCACTATCAAACTATTAAACTCCCAGCCTCTCTCACCTGTGATCTGAACCTCACAGTGCCTTCTCTCTTACCAAAACTCAAACACACATTGAAATCTACCTCTACCTCACATGTCAAGAAGCTCACTCCCCATAATTTCTCTATCCTTTATTTCATTCTGTTGATGTATGATTTTGCACATCTGATGTTGTTTTGCACATTGCCTATTGTCTCTGTCTTTCTTTTCTTATACAATTGTATTGTTGTTTTTTTCTACTTCTTACCATCTGAGAGTTAGCTAAGTAGCATTTTGTTATACCATATGCCTGTATATGAGTATAATGACAATAAACTTGGAACTTCAAAAGAAAATAGTTGCCGCTTTTCAGTCTTACCTTTCTTTTTGCAGTATGACAGTTACATGATCAAGGTGATACCTTGGTAACAATAATGCTTGTTTGTGCAGATCTTTTTAGCAGGTCTAAACAGAGTGAATAAACAAATATTTACGTAATCAAAAATGAGGATTATTCATTCAAGAATAGGGAGGGTACTTCACAGCCCTACGCAACAGGATTAAGAACAATAGCATGTGCATGGGCCGAAAGCAACACTGGCAAGATTTTGCATGTACTGTATGAAATGTTAGATCTAATATTGCCAAGCTGCCAGGAGATCTTCAGTAACTCATTGTTTAGCAAAAGACAGAGCAGTTCATGGAAAATAAAAATCAAAGTAACAACATTATTACTCCAGTTTGTTGTGATTCAGAATCAAAGGTGTGTTACTTTCAGGGAAACCACCTTTATATTTGGTTCCAAGTCACAGATACAGAAAACCAAAGTGTTATGAATCAGTTGAGGAATTTGTTTTGAAAGAAAACCCCCGGTTACTTACTAGTGAAACAGTGCAACAGGGTGTTTTTGTAATTTTTTCTCTCATTATGTACTTTTAAAATTTAGATGAGTATAATTTGGAATTAGTGCTTGCAAGGTTTTTGTTTTTCTCTGGAACGCATGTGTGTTAGATTGAATCCAGGCACATTTATAGATTTTTGATAGAAATGTGAAAGAGTGCTCCTGAGTTTTCTGTTGCAGATTACAGTAAATAGCATTGCATAAAGCATTGTCTTTATCAACCTGAAAAACAAGTGTAGTGAACTGTTTTTTTCAGCTGTTTCCTCAGAAGTCATTACAAACCCTTCCCATGAATTCTTGTATTGAAAGGTGTTGATGTTAAACTTGACAAGTAAGAATCTCTTAACATTCACACCATCAACAGTATGATGTATAAGTTCAAAGGAAAAATGGAAATAGTGTATTTTTGCTGCAGCACTACTCATTTCAGGTCATTTCCAAGTTAAAGAAAAGTTAGTCAAGAAACAGACACATATACAGATTCCAAACTTAACTTAAGGTTTTGTTTTTGAGGGAAATTAAGTTTAAGATGAGATCTGTTAAAATGAAACTACAAAATCATTATTCATATCGATTTTCAGGAATCCCGACAAGTCTGTGAGTAAAACTCTTGTATATTTCCAATACTCCTGTTAGAACTTCTCTTTCTCTACTTAAGCTAGTTAGGATAACTAACTGAATCAAGGTGACTTTTATGAATTAAGTGGGGAAAAAGAGCTTTTCATTTCCAGCATCTGTTGCCCCTAGTGACCAGTGTGGTCACCGTGGCAACTAAAAAAGCCAGTAAGTATTCAGATAGGCTTCAATTTCCTGTTTCAGGCCAGCTGAGTACCATAGTTACTATTTATGAAAGACAGAGGAGTTTGAAATACAAAGTGGAAAAAAGTGTGGTTATGTATAGAATGTTGGTTCAAAGTAGATTTCCATAGTATAGGGATACATATAGCAATGTTTACCTGGCAACTTTTGATTAAATGAAGCCTTTACTATCTGCGTTCGTCAGATCTGGAATATTTTTAACATTGCATTTTAATTTTGTCTGCTAACTATCCTACCTTTCATTTACTTGTCACCCTTTTATTTGATTATTTTCGTCATGTACCATTCAGCTGACTTTTTTAGTGTATGTTCACTGCAGTTAGGTGTAATTTATTTGCGCCTTAGTTCATTTATTGTAGGAAGGATACGACTGTCCTGCATTATCTGGGGATGTTTTAGAATTAGGCCATCGTTATTGTGTTGATTAATTATTCTTCAGATCAATTACAAAGGAGTGGTGTGATTGTCATTTCGAGGTTTTCAAGAGAATGCCCAAGTGGATTGGTTGTGCAGATTTACGGTACCAATGATTCATGCAGGGGCTTAATCACAGTATGAATCTTGGCAGGAATCAGTTGAGATACATAAACATTGCTCTACATAATACAGGGCTAATACAGCAGTGATTCTGACAAATGAGGTTCGCACCTCTATAGAGAACATTTTAAGATTCTCTTGACTTTCTTGTGGAATAGGCATAACGGGTTACAGCTGATACCTTCTGGGACTTGATTCTTTTTCAGTCATTCATACAGTTATTTTTTTTTAAAGAAGTGAAGAAAATAGTATTAAATACATAAAACAAGATATTCATCATTTTACCTCTTGCAACTGCTTTGAAAATCTTTTTTTAATTGTGTGCTTCAGTTTTATTTCTTTTTATCATTTGTTTGTTTTTTAAAAGAAAAAGCTGTATGACAGACTGTTTTGTCACATTCTTTTTTTCTTAAAGCTAATTTAAGAAGAGTGAGTTGACCTCCCATTTATAATTAACCTTTATAATGTTTTTAAAGGTGATGCCATGTACCCCAAAACACTCTAATAAGACACTAATGATTTAGTTATTTTTTCTCAGGATTTCAGGGTTTGTGAGATGTGAGGTGTGCTCTGTAGTCATTGTAGGCGTTGTACTAAGAAGTGTTATGAAATTTCCTGTCCTTTCTGGCTGAAATATATTGCATGATATTTCCCATAATTGTCATTTACAGATTCCTATTTCGGTTACTTGTGCAGTGAGTTAAAATTTTGAGTCTGTGTTCTGAAATATCAGTCCCACTCAATTTCTGCATTTAAAACAGACACCTTTAAATGGTTTTGACTTTTAATGTTCTAAAATAAATCAAATGCTTTGGAAGGAGCTTTACCAATATTAATAAGTCTGTAGGACAGACAAGTGACTTGCATTAAAAGTAAAATACAGTAAAAAAACAGGATTGCTCCTAGACTAGATCCCATTTTGAGTAATCTCTGTGGGGTTCTTAATACAAGTTGAGGTGGGAGTCTTTTTATTTAAAATGATCACATGCGACAGCTCTAACTTCTGAACAGATATTGAATGTCATGCTCACAATCTGAATAATTTTATAATTCATCCAGATTTAATGTTTCTCCTGTTTCATAAACACAGTGCTCTAAAAGTTAAATTACACATGTCTAAAGTTACGTCCGAATAAAGCCGGTCAGCAGACTCAGATGAAATAACAGATGATATCAGTTAGATTCTTAACAACATGAACAAAAATAAAATTTTCTGAACAAGATTGATCAAAGTCTTTAGATTGAAGCAGAATTTTCACTGCACTTCATTAAGGGCCTTGAGTTCTGCAGCTTGCGTCTGGTAAGGTATTAAGAAAGTACATAGTAAATTGAATCTGTATCAACTCATTCTGTATGTAGGGTGAAATAAAATCAAAATCCATTTGGTAAGGCGACTTCTCATTACTAGAAAACCATCTGGTTGATCACGCTGGATTAGTGTGGACTTTAAAACTACAAATTCTCTTGGATTCCTGCCTTCTGATTGGGTAAATGCATTCTCAAAGCCACACATTACAAGCAATGTACATTTTTTAATTTAAAGAAACAAATGCGTAACCTGGTTTATGATTTAATAGTTAATGGAATCCAAAAAACCTACAGCAAATCAACGAAATATATTTAAGTTCAAAATGTTCCCTAACCTCCTCCTTTACCCTGTTTCTGTTACCATCTTGTCAGACATCTTGAGATCCATCTGTCTTAATACAGTACCTAATGTCTTCATCTTCTTATCTACTTCAGCAAGTTTCCTTTTAATTCTAAATAGAAATTCAGTCTTGTCCACTCATGAATTTTGATCATTCCCATGTATTGTAAATTAAATGAAGATTATCAAGTCCAGACATGTTAAATGCAGATAACAGCTTTCATTAACTGACATATGCAAGGGTAAAGCCTTCAGATATCCTTGATGTATGGTTGTGAATGAGAAACATCTTGTGAGCTATCTGCTGATAATTAAATATATTATATGCTCTTGGTAAAACCACTTATCATACTTTTGTTTTAATCACACACTATAATATTCTCTTACTGGAAAGATTGAAAGCATTGTATTTACAACTTTGTTGAAAGGAATTTGATTCAATTTGCAAGATCATTGATAAAATGGTTTCACATTTTCTGTTTTTCAGGTGACTTTCCACCACCTCCCCCACCTGTGGATGACCTGAGCAGTCTCCCATCACCAGTGGCACCCTTCCCAGCTCCTCCACCTGCTGATGGGGCATCTTTCAGTGTTCAGGTAAGGAAGCTGTATTCACGTCAGAAAGAACACAGACCAGGAGAACCAGGTTCATTCTCATTCTGTTTGAAATTCTCAGCTGGGAAAGGGATCATTTACACAAGTAACAATATGTAGCTTTTATATCAGACTGTTCTTCCCAAAGGACCCAAACTGCTTTACAAGTAGGAAAGACAAGACTTCACTTACCATTACTACCAGAGTCGAAGCACAGAACCCCCTGCAATGGAGCACAGCAGCTGTTACATGCCAGCAACGTACCAAAGAGGTGATAAGGTTCAGAAGTGAGAAATGTTGTAGCTGGTAAATTGGGCTGGTTAGAATGTGAAATTCCCTAGTGACATTTACCACTAAACCTTTGGCTTCATTAATCATCTGAAACATTATTCCTCCTCTAATGTAATGCCTCTTAGCGTACCGGGGCATTCGTTTGGAAATGTTTGCCCAGAGAGAGGACCTTCTGCCTGGTCCACAGAGCCCCTTCCAACAGTGATCTTATTGCATAAAGTATTGTTTCCTTTTCCAAATATTGATAAGGAGAGATGTTCCAACACCAGGTCAGGATGACCCGTAGAAATATGCTTTTACCATGATAAAGCACAAAGCTTCTATAGTGATTTGTATTACTATTTATTACATGTTCGAGGTTTCATTGATCCTGCAGTAATACTATATTTTGTTTCTAAGTGTTTTTCTAAAATTCATAAATGCTGTAGTACTGGCTGTGCTTAAATCCTGTGAACCACATTGGGTCTGTCTGCATGCTTTACACAAAATGAATTTTTGCCATCTCTTTAAAACACTGTATTTTATTTATATGATATTTAATAAGAACAGTGGTTATTTATTGTATTAATGAAAAAAAAGGCTAACATTTTGAGCTCAACTGTACAAAATGTGCAGTGGTTTTGGAATGCAAAATACTTTTCACTGTGATTCATAAGATTGTGTTAAAAAATATAAAGGAGTTTGAACACTCTGAATGAAAAAAAGTGCATTAAAGCTGCAGACATGTAAACAGTATTAATATTTTTACGACAACTGTTTAAAAATTACATGGACTCTGACGTCATTGTTAAGCTTTAGAATACATCCGCATATCTGTTTTCTGAGTGTTTTTTTGTAGTCAGGAGTGACATATTTTTATTGTCCTATATTGTGTATACCAAAATGTGCTTCACAGTGGCAGTAACTCTGTACCTTATCAGTCCTGAGGTGTTTAGTTGTTTGTGATTCAGAAGGTGATCCTCAGTGGACTAGTTCCCCAAACTGATTTACCCCTTGATTGGAGTCAAACTGGAGTTTGTGAAAGTACTATATTGGAAATATACCACAACGAACACCCTGCTACCACTTTTTAAACCTAAAGACAAATTATAGTACAGCCCTCAGGTTTACTTTTTTGTATATAAGGAGATAGTGTTCTCCAAACATACTGAAACAACTGTCAAACCTTTTATTTGTGCTTGGCACCCAAGCCATTGGTTATTTGTGATCATTTGAGAGTAATATGTATAACAGTATATGCTTATATTTGGGATAATTCCATGCATATGTTTGATCATACTCAATATAACGTTTGTGCAACCTTGTGATTTCAAGTGACATTAACACTCAGTAATGTACTGGGGACAAATTCACGTAAATTGTTAAAGTCAGTAATATTAAGTAGTAAGTATTAAGCATCTCAAATCATTACACAAAGGGTTTGGTGAGCTCAGTGGGCTACATAGTGCATTTATTGTCTCAAAGGGATGTGCAACTAAATACTGACTATATTATACTTTTCAAAGTTACTTAAAGTAAATGTGTTACAGTATTCATGATAATTTGAAGTCTTTGTGTTGAACTCAAAGTATGGTTTCTCTAATATTTTCAAATGTATGCATAGGATTATCTAAAATGTACTGTATTTATATAGCTCTTAATATTATAATCATCAATTGCTTGAGTTTAAAGGAAAAATATGTTTTAACTTGGCTGTCCCAATAGTTTTCGAGGGCACTGTATATGTAGATGAGGTTAGTTTGTAAAATGAGAGTTTTTAAAACTGCACATTTAATTGCCTACAAATTACAGTTAGGCAACACATTCAATCTTTGCAATTAAGCTGTTCCCTGGAGCCTCCCATGTAACTTCATAGAATCAAATGAAAGAGGGGAATTCAATGGGTTCCAAGTTTTTTTTTAAAAAAACAAGGATGTTATGAGGCATCATATGTATTTTTGTAACTTTTCGTGAGTTAGCTTCACATTTTTCATGAGCAGAACTACAGTAAATCTAAAACAAAAAAAGCAAAGGATACTTACGGAAGTATATTACAGCTACAAAAATGTGTAATTATGCCTTTCAGCCCAATATAGTGTACAAGAGTTCCTTCCTGAGACTAAGTGAATTGTGATATAAGACCTAAACATTGTTCATGATTCTAAGCATTAAATGCTTCTAAAAAAATATTTTAAGGTTTTGTTTGAACCCCCACATTCTGTTGCTCAAATTGAGTTTAAAATAACTGCTTGAATCACTCTGAATACTTTAGAAATGTTGATTACTTCATTTATTCTCTTCCCAGTACGATTTTGTATATGTACAGGTTCACAGTATTGCCTTTTGTTTAAATGAAGTCTATACAGTAAATGGATTCATGTTATTTGCAGTACCATACTAAAAATAATTAAACAAAAATGAATATTATAAAAATTACAGTAAGAGCAGCCTTCTTCTTAACCCATTATTTCATGATTTTACATGTTATTTAATGGGTAACCATAGGAACGAAGATTTATGTGCAAAGAAATACTGAGATATTTACCTCAGTTGTGCACTTAGTTTAACTAAATTTAGAATGACAGTGTTAAACACTGTATGATTTCCACATTGTTCAATTCAAAGTCTGAATTAAATCAGCAGAAACATTTATAGAAATCTGTTTATTTAGAAGAGAACCATTGTGCTTTTAAGACTCAGAACCTTTTTTACTAGTACAATGATTTAGTACAATGATTTCAATACCATACTCATATTCTCTAACTCGTATACTGTAAAACCAAAACGTACATTTTATTAAAAAAGAGGAATGCACAGTTATGGTGTTTCTTCTGTTTTCTGTATTATGTTGTTCTGTATTAGTTGAAGTTATTTATGTAAGTACTGTACAATGTCTAATTTAAACAGTGCTTCCACCCTTAAAAGCTTCTGACAGGTAATCAAAACACATACCGTTACAGGGGATGCAATCTAACTAGCTTAAAATGAAAGAAGTTTTTACACTGCAGTGCCAACATCATTCCTCAGTCCAAAAAAATATTTTCATTAAGATTAATCCTAATTCCCTTGAATGTTCAAATGAATCAGATTCCAAGTCTGGGATTGTCAGTCCTTGACTTTCTGGTATTGTCTTTTGTGTTTTTAGTTGGCTTACGAGATATGTGGCTCCATTTTTGGGAGCTCTACTGTACAGGAAAAGGGACGCGTCTTTCTTCTTCCATGTCTGTGTCCTTTTTAGTTGGTCAGCCCAGAGCTTCAGCTTGGAAAGGGCAATTGAAATTAAAGAAATGCTCAGACCATTGCCGTCGTTGTATTTGCTTTTTTTATTTGGAAATACACTTACAGTATTTTTTTAAATATTTACATACTTTGGAGCAAATAAGGAGTTCATTTCTGTATTTAAAGTAGAAAGAAATCATCAAAGAGCTAAGAGTCAGAGTATTGTGGTAAAAATGCTTCTCAGCTTTAAAAATTACTTTGAATTATTCCATTCTTTGAACAGAAATGACTTTAAATTGTTCTGTTAATTTTTCTTCTTCCTTGAAGATTTGACTTTGGAAATTTGTTAGTCTTCTATTTTCAGTACAAACTGAAGGTTTGAGTACGATTTGAAGGTTATAATAACATTATCCCTTTATTGTTTTTCACTTCATGTACTGAACACTCATCTCTAAATAAATGTATGCATTGAATTCTAAACACAGTATGTTACGAAGGCTTTCAACCCCCATCGCCTTTAGATTTGTCCAAGCCACTGTATCCTTTACATTACATCGCATTGCCACATTTTGTTGCAATGTTTAATATTAATATTTTAAATACACAAAGTTCAGTATTTGAAATAGATGTATTCAGTGCTGAACAGCTTCCTTAGTTATATCATAGATGCTCAGTGTGGCCCTTTCAGGAGGAAAAAAAGTCAGTAGATTTAATAAAGACCCATAGGTGATGATCTATTAAAAGTGCCAGGCAGTGTACTGGTTAAATGCCTATTAGGATGTATTGTGTGAAAGAAGTGGGTCTAATGATCTTTTAAGTGAATTTAAAGAATTGGTTTCTCGGAAGCCCGAAGGTTACATGTTCCAGTAAAACGTAGGACTCGTTGCATTCGTTGCTTTCAGCGGACCTCGCTTCTCATTACCATAATCAAAATGAGCTGGGATGCTCTTTTTCCTGTATGTCCCTTAACCAACAGAGGAGGTCACTGGGGCAGTTAATACCTTTACAAGAATTTAATAGGATTGACTAAAGTATCATCTGTTCTCTACTTGTCCGTGGGGCTTAAACCTGACCGTTTTTAAAAGTATTATCCTCATTAAATGCAATAAGACCAAAACCTCAAACTAAAAAAAAGATCCCCTATATTTATCTGTTCTAAATAATATTCAGGTAAAATTTCAAAACCATGTACTCATCACCAGCGAGTATTTACAGCTTTGTTTGGCCCTTTTCAAAAATACAAGCTCTTTAAATCAGCTATGTTTGCTTAATATGAAATGTTTTGTTGTTGTTTTCTGACAAAGGCATGGTGCTATTAGGGATCTCCTTTATCATGCAATTCTCTAATTATTCAGAGAATAGCTGTGCAGCATGTTGTCTGAGGTCGAATGTGCAGTCGATTAGCAAAGAGCCTACTTTGCAACTGAGGAGATCAGCACATACTTAAGTGGTTGCTGTAAGTGTATTTTGAAGAACTTTGCAATCATCTACAGGAAACTCAAGTGCTGTAAACCCTTGAAACAGTGAAGAGGTCTTTACTGAGAAAATGTGTAAAAAAATACTCTGATACAGATTCTACACAAAGGACAAGCATGTCCTTTAGCAGCAACTAGGTTTCAGCTTTAAATAAACATTAGATGTCTGTGTTAAGGGAAAAAAAACATCCTTTTTTTCCATACATGTCCTTTTTTGGTAAGACACTAATGAGCACTCCGTGGAGTTTGTTCACATTTCAGTACATTTCTTAGGGATTTTGACGGTGGAGGTGGCCTGTCTTTTCTAATCTTTTTGATGATGTCTTCTCTTCAGGTCAAAACCCCAGAGAAGACGCTAGAAGAGCGCCGTTCTAGTTTGGATGCGGAGATTGATTCTCTCACTAGCATCCTTGCTGACCTGGAGAGCAGCTCACCTTACAAGCCCAGGCCACAGCAGGTATGTAAATCACAAAGACTCCAGAACTGTATCCCTCTTTGTGAAAAGAATCACTTCTTGTACAGCCAATATGGGACCTATCCCACTTTTAAAAAAGGAACATACATATTATTCAAAGGTCATTTTTAATAATCATCTGAGACATTTGTTTTATGGTACCTTTACCATTATTGCATTGTACATTGTACTCAGTTTGAAACTTGATTTTGAATTTCACACATATGTCCATGAACAGGGATTTGGACATCTCTTACCCTGAAGAGGTAATAATTGTTACAGTATACCCTGAAATTGGTACCAGAAGAACTAGATCCCTGTGGGCTGAATGTATAAGCGCCATTCATAATTTTCCCTGCCATGGGTTTGCTTGTTGTCCAAGGGAAGTGCAGTAGGTACAAATGACATATGAGGTACTTTCCCTTGTGAATGTAGCAGTTTAGCATCTGAAGGTGGTAAAAGAGGTGGAGAGGTCCAATTGCCAGCCGTCCTGGGGCAGTGAATCAAGGACAGGACATTTTGAAGTAGGAAATACGCCTTCATGCAGCAACTTCGACTGCTGGCACAGGAGAACTTAATTTTAAAACCATCCTCCATTTTCTGTCATTAAATTTAGCTTCTACCAACATAGTGTAGTTCCCTTAAGGCATTGCATTATCTCTCAAATTAAAAAGCTACTTTTGCAGTTTCATTACACTACATGGAGTAGACCCACTACTGTCAGTGTCTAAGCAGTGTGCAAAAGGAATTGCAATCTGCCATGCTCCACTGCTTATTCAGATCAACAAACATAGCCTCACAATGAAAGAAGGTTTTGCAAATGTTAGGCAATGTTTTAGGAAAATTTACAGAATATCTTATACTTTTGTTCTTTTTATGCTAGAATACAGTTTGCAACATATTGCAATAAATTACTTTGAAAATGTTTAAACTTTAAAAATTACGAATTCATAATTTCGGCACACTTATAAAAGCCTGACAATGAAGGAATGCTGCATGCAGGCAATAGCATTACAATCAGTGAAATGGGAGCAGATGGATGCAGATGAAATCAACAGAAGAAGGGTGGTCATATTTCAAAAACATCATAAAAAGGCTCAAAATGAAATCATCCCAAAGTCAGTTATGTCCAAGTATGGACATATATGGTCTTCATGGTTAATGTTGAAATTAAGAAAGAAATCAGAATAAAGAGTGTGTTTAACAGACTCCATAAAAGGGCTAAGATTCAAAAATGGGAAAAAAAGAGTTTAGCTTGAAAAATCCAAAATATTATTGCAAAAGAGGCAAGCAATAATGCAAATTATTTTCAGTACTACACCTGTGACTGGACTGTAAAAGATAACATGGGGTTTGTAATAATAGATGTTGAATAGTGAATATGCTAAATTATTTTTTCATACAGGTTTGTACAGTAAACAGTGTCAATGACATGTCCCATATTATAGAAGCAGGGTTGTGAGATTTTACCAGAAATAACCCTGAGATTCTACTGGGGACAAGGACAGTTAAAATTAAAAGATTGCCAGGGCCTGATGGTATTTTCCCTTTCACACTTCTTTGAATGCTGGCAGTACTCACTGATCAGAGAAGGAGACTAGGAGACTGTAGTCCAATCAGCCTCCCTACTGTTGCAGGTAATGTTATGGAAATGATTGGTAGAGCTAACATAGAGGAATACAGTACTTCCAAAAAATTGTATTTTAAAAGACAACTAATATAAATTGAGAAAGGGAAAGCCTTGTTTACATCTTACTAGAAATGTTCATACAAACATCAAGAACAGTAAGATTTCCAGAAAACATTTGATAACACCCTGTATTATATTATTAATTAACCTCTAAGTGCAGGTATGTAGAGGTATGAATACCTCTAAATGGGCAGATATAAGCAGTGGTGTACCATAGGTATCAATTTTATGATCTTTTTGCTTTTCCTGATATATTCAATGATTTTTATTTTGATTTTGACACAGTCGATAGTTTTGCGTTTTCAAAACTAATTCAATTTTGAGATCATGCAAAAATAGGTGAAGTGACAAACAGGAACGATTACCAGGAAAAACTGAAAAGACCTAAATCATGAATTGGGCCAACAACTGGCAAATAGATGTTAACATTTATAATTGCAAAGTGATCAACACAGGTTATAGGGACATAAAGTACACACAATAGCAGAGGGGTTCAGAGGTGCAGAAAGGAGTACATGAAGGTGACAGAAGTGCTTATAGAGATGTTTCTGTATTTCTGTATTAAAAGCAATGCAAGGAAGAGATACAAAAAGCACACAAAAAAGCTTAACTATGTAATTAAAAAGTGTTGCACTTAAATCCAGGGATGTTATACTCAGGCTTAAAAATGCACTAGTAACACCTTATGTAGAATACAGTTTTCAGTTCTGGTGGCTTTACCACATTAAGGACACTAGAAGCATAGAGGGGTTGAACCCTTTAAGGGTTCAAAGAAAAGCAACAACAATGGTTCTTGACTTCAGGGAATTGTCACAGGTTAAGAGAGCTAGACCTTCTCGGCCAAGAACAAAAAGAGATTCAGAGGAGATGAGAACTAAATAAATACTGTAAAATCTTAAGAGGTTTAGATAGACCCCCAGTTTGACCCTATTTCGTGCTCAATATTTGAAAAGGGACATGGGTATTTTAAGATGGAGAAGCGGTTCTGTACACAAAGCTGAGGCAATCCTTGTTTGTAACTGGAACAAGCCTCCTAGCCAGTAAATTGAGGCCCGTACTGCGGAAATCTATTTTCTTACACAGACTCATTTGATGATTCTCAGTAACTAAGTGGGAATTTGTTTTGGTTCTCACGAAGAAGCATCTTTCTTATACCTCTAAATGTTTGTGACATACAAGCTTTAGAATTTTGGTTGATTTGGGGTTTCCTTTGCGAGTTGGACTTGATAATTTTGTGGGGTTTTTTCTTGTCATCGATTTGACTCGTGAACTCTTTTAAAAGTACCGTAATAAAAAGTAGTATAGCAGTTTAGCAAATTAATTTCCAAACATACTGCACTGCAAAAAAAATATGCTTCTAGAAACTACCATTTTAAAGAGTCATTTTAGGTTGCCAGACTAGGAATGTATAGAAATGTAAACTTCAAGGAAACAATCACAGTTTTAAAATGGCACCTTTCATCTTTTTCCCTGCATGCTTCTGTATATTGTATGTTCTTATCATTGGTTTCTCTTAGTTTTTGTACAGACTCAATTACTCTGTAGCTGGGGAGGTCCTAATCACTTTGGAATGAGCACTGGGAATCAGTAGCATAGCCCTGAGGTTGTGCTTTTCTATTTGAGTGAGATGAGAAAGCTTTCCAGATAGCCAGATGGCTCGTCTCTCACTGCTCCTTTTAAACTTATGTTAACCTTGGCTGTAGGTTGAACCTTCAGTGACCTGCTGCAGCATGCCACATTACCAAGTCCTACCACTTAGACAGCAGTGATCAACCTGTGCAAGCCAAGCCTGGTTTAACAAGGTTAAGAGCATATGATCACCTGTGTTTTAAACATCTGACCACTATTTACTTAATCAGGTAACTGCTGTATTTATTTCAGTTTTTGCAGTTATATGTATAATGCAGTTGGTACCACCTACATTTGATTTCCAATTTAATTGCATTAAAAGGTTCCCAAAGTGCTTTGTGTAGAAAAGGAGAGGCAATGGGCTAATTTCAATCACTGCCCAGTTTTGGCCCCACTACACAACACGTGTATGTTGGATTACAGGAGCCCATAGTGGAATTTAGCCGATATGATGGAGTTCTATTCTTACAAACAATGCCATGTGATCGTTATTACCCAGAAGTAGTTAAGATCCAAAGGATAACCCATCCTTCAGAAAAGTGTCCTCTATCACAATACTGGTACAACAGGTTTTATAAATTCAAGCTTCAAAGGAAGAGTGTCACTTACTTGTCCACCAGCATCATGATTTTCCTTATTGGTCACCTATCCCAGTGCTGTCCAGTCCCAGCCTAGCTCAGCTTCTGGGATCTGATGCGATCAGGCTCCAGGGTTGCAATATTTTAATATTTGCTTTATTTATGTGGATAACAATCCAATTTATGCTTATTTTCCTCCTTTAGTATCAGCAAAAGTAATATCTGATTTCGCAGTGACGGCATGCCATTTGAGATGAGATCCTTATGTGCGTTCCATGTGTTATGCTAAACCGAATACACGTGCTCAAGATAACATGAGCACTATCATTTTTTGCATGCTTGCAAGGGTGTAGGGTTCACAAGGGAAGCTGGTTTTAAAAATTTGGTTTAGGCTCTGGGTTCGGGGTCACCTGGCCTGGGAGGTCTGGCGTACCTGCAAATTGTCAGGGTTAATGCAAGTAGTAGCTGCATTGAGTGACTAAATTGCTCCAGTTAAGTAAGTAACCAGCTGGTTTAGCTCAGGAAAAGAGGAATCCAAGTGAAAACCTTTACCCTCTAGGACCAGGAGTGAACACCCCTGATTTAGTCAATTTGGGTGATAGACCCATGGTGCTAATAATGACACCTGAAAATCAGAAAATATTAAGGTTTGCTGAGTGCTGTTTTTTAGGTGCGAAATGACACTAAGAACACATAATGGTTGCAAGGGCATTATTGAACAGCTAAAACAGCTAAACAGCAAACAGCTAAAAGTGTTGAGGTGGCAAAACAGTTGCATTGTAGTACTGCATAGACTAGATTTCCTATTTTTTACACAGAGGGTTGCAATGCACTAATCAGTAGTGGCAGATTATGTAGAAACAGAAACATAAAAAACAGTAAGTAATTTTTATTATTGATCTTCATTTTGAGCTGCACTGTGAAATAATGTAGCTCTCATCATAAGGATTCAAAATGGTGCAGGTTTGAGGTCAGGCCGCAGATGTGTTTGCAGGAAAGCGAAGGAGTAGTTCTGTTTTGATTAAGCCATGATGCTCCTTGACTTGAAGGCAATTTCAGACATGCAGTCGGGTTTTGTTTTATGAAACTCAGTGGTTACTGTGTTC